CTCTTGAGGTCGCGCTGCCGCTGATGAGCGCTGCCGCTGGCCAGGCCGACGGTCCGCGGCCGCCCCGCCGCTTGCCGGGGCCCGTCCTGCAGGGAAGAAAAGTATATCTCCCAACAATGGTACGATCGAAGATGACGAGGGCGGGTATCGAGGCTTTGGGAACTACGCGTTAACGGATACTCGAGCAAATAAGAGCGAACAATCTTAAACTGATTGCTGCTGTTGTTGATGCTGCTGCTGTTGTTGTTGTTGATGATTGATGTCGTCGTCCCACCCGCGTGGGGCTGGACAGCTGCCTATTGACGCCAGTCCATGCAGTTGACGCTCCAAACGGGGATCAACTGATGAAATTTTGTGAGGGTCAGGAACTGGTGGTCGCCAACTTCTTTTTCACTCAACCGTTGGAGCAAAAGGTCATTTACATGGAGCCTTACCCCAGTTTCAATGGAGATATCAACGAGCTTCAATATCACATTCTAGATGTATTTCTGTGCAGCTCATCAATCTTATCTCAATCATAAGACTTGCGGAGCCATCGACAAATAGCGTTGGGTACAGATCACTATCTCGTCACGTGCACGCTTATGCAATCACTGGAATCGATCCGTCAACAACCGCATCGACGTGCTTGCCGAGAAGCCCTCCAGGACCAATCGGTGCGACTACAAGACGCAGACACGTTCGTGGAGATACTCGAAGTTTTTCCCCAACGACTCAGAAACAGTGTAAAAACTGTGGGCCCAAAGAGACCCGGCAGCTCTCGCGGCGACCACTGTGCTCCCGCAAACGTCTGCAGACAAAAAACCATGGATCAGCAACTGCACGCTGGGATTGATCGACAAACGCCCTCAGGCACGCCAAGCGAACAACATTCAAGAGGAGAAACGTTCGTTAGAAGAAGTGTGTAAATCGTGCAAGCAAGACAAAACATCACGGATTGAGGGTCATATTGCGAATGGGAGCTAGGACGCGATGTGAAATGTTTGCCGTGCACGGCCACGCAAACAAGGGAGCTTGCAACATATGGCAGGACAGCTGGTCGAGAGCAGCGGGCGTGCAGACACCATGGCAGAATTTCTGGAGAATGTGCAATGGAACGTGAGGCCAGCGGAATTGCCGTCTACGGAGCCTTTGGGATGTACCCTGCCTGTGTTCGAAGGGGAGCTCACGATTCAAGAAAGTGGGAAATTGGTACATAAACCGAAGCGGGGCAAAACTGCAGGGACAGATGGCATCCCGGGTGAATATTGGAAGGCTGTAGCGCAAACGCCAGGGGGACTACATGGCTTGATTATAAAGCTATCAGCTTGCTCTGCGTGGCATGCAATGTGGTAACAAGACTGTTGTTAAAACGATTTCAACATGCAGGGGCAGAAGACCGGCTCACGAACACTCTATTTGGACTTTGCCAGGGACGAGGCACGGCTGATGCGATGCACGTAGAACGTAGGCACATCGAGCTAGCACCGATAAAGAAGACATCAAGATTTACATGTGTTGTTTTGGATTGGTAATGTGGCCGCGATGCTAAACATTCGGGAAAGATTTGGGCTCCCCGCCCGGCTCTTAGGAATTACCGAACACATTTACAACAAGAGTCGTTTCTGCGTCGCGGATGGGGGGCAACTGTAACATGTCAAAAGAGCGGCAAGAAGAATATGGTATTTCACAAGGGTGCCCGTTGTCCCAAGTCGTACTTGTGATGGTAATGACAGTGGTGATAGAAGATGCGATTACAAGCGTCAGTGAACCAACCAAGGAGGCAACCAAGCATGGCCACTTGATGAATAGCTGTATGCTGACGACACCTAGGTCATTGGCAGGCACCAGGAACATATTCAAGAGCTTCTTGATGCAATCGCCGCAGCAGGAGGGGAAGCAGGGCTAGAGCTACACTGGGACGCATTCAAGTGATGCGCTTGCAAACTCAATTTAAAATATGTTCGCCCGCCAGAGCGCTCAGATAATCAACATATTTTTTCGTGCACCTTGGTTCCACATTTAACAATACTGGGAAACATGTCTGCACAGTGAGCCAAACGATTGGGAGCGGCCTGGGGCGAATTGTCAAGATGTTCGAAATGTTCGAAATATACTTCGATTACGGTGGAAAGTAACTTGCAAATCTCCCAAACGATGATGACAAACGAACTCATACACGCTCACCGAATCGTCCTGCCCACGCGCGTTTGGTGTATGACGGCCTCGTTCGATCGGAGGTTCAAGCAGATTTCCTGGGTCGGCGCTGGAGGCACCGCCAGGTGTCGAACGCTGGCCCATGAACCCCGCGCGGACCTCCGACAATTCACGTTCATGCCGATATTGTTTCCTTGACTCCTCCTCGTCCTCCCTCCTCCTCCTCCTCCTCCTCCTCCTCCCTCCCTCCCTCCCTCCCTCCCTCCCTCCCTCCCTCCCTCCCTCCCTCCCACAGCGTCCCCTAAGCCGGGACAGAGATGCTAGACCATGACCTCCAACATTCCTCGCAACCATTTTTCCCAGACGACCGCACGACAAAACAAAACTGCACTGCAATATCCGCCGACCCCTTGGGGTTCATCGGCGTGTGAGATGCTACCCCCTCCCCAAACCCAATCGATTTGGGAAGGGGGGGGAGGGGGGGGTCTATCGGGGCTCCCAGGGGGGGGGTCCTTTGCTCCAGAAATTCTGTTGGGGGGCATCCAGGGCTCGAAAACGGGCTAAGAGGGCCCCAAATGAGGTCCAAGACGGTCCAAGAAATCCCCGAGTCGCCGAGACATCGTCCCAAGACGCCCAAGGTGGCCTCCAGACGGCCCAAGATGCCTCCAAGTCGCCCCAAGAGGCGTCTAAGAGACCTCGCACGAGGGCCTCAAGAGGCCAAAATCGTTGATTCTCATGCGTTTTTCATGTTGTTTTGCTTTCTCGCCTTTTCGGGCCTCTGACGCTCCAAGACGGTCCCAGAGGCCCTCAAGACCGCCTCAAGACGGCACAACAGGCCCCCGAGAAGGCCCCAAGACGGCTCAAGAGGGCGCGAACTTGAGTCAAGAGGGCCTCAAGATAGCCCACGAGGCCTCCAAGAGGGCCCCAAGAGGGGACCAAGAAAGGGACCACGGACCGAAAATTCTAGTTCTCCGCCCCAAGAGGCTCCCGGGATGGCTCAAGAGTCCCGCAGCAAGAGCCTCCACCCCCACGAGACCCCAACAGCTTCAAAAGAGGGCCCAAGAGGCGCCTCCTGGACGCCCCAGAAGCTTCGACGAGACCTCCCTCGAGGGCCCCGAAATGTTTAGGTGTTTTTTCGAAGTTGTTGGCTTTCTCCCCTTCTTGGGCTTCCGACGCACGACGGCCCCAGAGGCCCCCCAAACCGCCTTCAGGCGGCTCGTCGGGCCCCCGAGAAGGTCTCACGACGGCCCAAGAGGGCCCGAACACGGGTCAAGAGGGCCTCAAGACAGCCCAGGAGGCCTCCAAGAAGGACCCGAGAAGGGGACCACGGAGTGAAAATTCTAGCTCTCCGCCCGAAGAAGCCTCGGGATGGCCCAAGAGGCCCTCCAGGGCCTCCACGAGGCCCCCACGAGGCCCCCAATAGCCCCAAAAGAGGTCCCAAGAGGTCCCAAAACAGCCCCCCAGAGGCCGCCAAACTGCCTCGGGAAGGCCCCAGCGACGCTTTTCACGAGATTCCACCGGACGTCCAAGAGGCTTTTGAGCCACAGCCCAGGCACGGTGGCGGGAAGGGCAGACCGCCACCAGACACAGATATCAGCACAATCCACCGACCGTTTCAGCTGGGATGGTATGAACTCAAAACTAGGATGGACGGTGGGAGATCGGGTGCGAACGAAGGAGACCGACTGCGGCGTTGTCGTTGGGACCTGTGTCGGTATTCCTTCTGGATATGCACCCCCTGCTCCACCCGACCAACGACAAACCCGGGGCTATGTGGGCATGTTGCTCGGTTTTGGGGAAATCTCGCGCTTTGAACTTCCCGACGCTCGTAGAGGACCCACAAGGCCCCCACGACGGCCCCACGACGTCAGCTGCGATCTCCACGACGCCCACAGAGGCGCGCAAGACCAACTCCAAAAGAAAAGCAGCCAAAGGGCCCGATCGGACACTCCGAGCCGTCGGCCCCAAGAAGACCACAGGAGATCCCACCAGAACCCCCACAAGGCCGACACGAGGCCCCCACTGGACGGCATCTACTACACCCCAAGGGGTCGGCGGTGCGGCGTAAGCCCGAGAATCCACGTCCGGAGGTGACGCGCTGAGCGGCAGCGTTTTCCGCGGATGCTGTAATGCAGTGGATTCATTGTGTCCAATGTTTGCATAATTCCCACATGCTGCATTGTGTTGCATTATTATGTCTCCCCCCCTACCCCCCCCCTGCAGTCGCGCCACATGAACGGACCAAAGTGGCCCCCTCCTCCCGGGGCCCTAAAAACCGACAAAAACCTATGACAAATCAACAAATTCGGCCTCTTGGGGCTTCAAGAGGGCCTCAAGATGGCCCAAGATGGCCCCAAGACGGCCCCAAGACGGCCCAAGAAATTCCCAACGGGGGCCCATGAGGACCCTAAGACGGCCCCCAAAGCTCCAAGGACGGCCCAAGAGGGCCCCAAGAGCGCCCACAAGTGCGCCTCCAGAGGCCGAAATCATTGATTTTCCGATGGTTTTTGCAATCTTTTAGCGTTCTCGTCTTTTTCGACTTTCACAGATCCATGACGGCCCAAGCAGCTTCCAGAATCGCCCCAGAACAAGCCAAAAAGCCCCAATCATTAAACCCGCACCAGGGCCCACAAAAACATGAAGTGTCCCCGCTAGTCCAGGACAGAAGCCCGAATCGCACAGTGCAGCCAAAAAGTGAACTGGACGACCACGTCTGGCTTTGCAGGGAAAGGTGTGTGTGTGTGTGTGTGTTCCCCGAGTTGCCGATGTCCTGTTCAATCTTTGTCCTGATCTCGGGGGGCCTGTCTCCATCTCTTCTCTTCCAGGCATAAGGAACGAAGAGGTCCCCCCCCCGCCCTCGGCACTGCGTGCATTGGATCTTGGAGCTGTAGTTGTGGAAGCCGCACCGCGTGCACCTGGCTCTTCGTCGTCTTCGTCGTCGTCGTCGTCGTCGCCGTCGCCGTCGCCGTCGTCGTCGCCGTCGCCGTCGCCGTCGTCGTCGTCGTCGCCGTCGCCGTCGTCGTCGTCGTCGTCGTCGTCGTCGTCGTCGTCGTCGTCGCCGTCGTCGTCGCTGTCGTCGTCGTCACGTGAGCCGCCGCCGCCGCCGCCGCCGTCGTCATCGTCGTGGTGGTCGCCGTCGCCCTCGCCGCCGCCGTCGTGGCGGTGGTGGTGGTGGCAGTCGACTGCGTGAGCGTCTGTGCCGCCGTCTCCTGCGGGAAGCAAGCGATGATGTTCACAAGGCCCGCCCTCTCGGTTGTCGACTCAACACGGTCAGTTTCTCTCCAAGCGAGCTCGCCTAGAAGTCTCCTGGCTCCATCCGTGGAGAACTGGTCCACTGCTCCCCCCTGATGTGTCTGCCGGCGCCATCGTCAAACTACCCGCGCGGCCTCCGCTGCATCCGCAGGACGTCCTCTGTGTCAGCATGGCTTCTCTGCTACTCCAGTGGCACCCTTGACTACCTACTTCAATAGTGTCCCGCCTACCGTCGAACTCAGAAGGTGAGTAGGGCTAGACCGGAGTAGAGTAGGGCAGGAAACGGTTAGGGTAGAGCGCACCAGACTACAGTAGAGTCGGGTAGACGGTAGAGAAGGGTCGGATATCCGAGAGTGCAGAGGAACAATACAAAGAAAGGTGTACTCGCGTGGCAATCAAGTTAAATTCAAGAGTCGTGGGGTACCCACAGGTCGCCGTCAGTAGCCCCTACGAGGGGGGTCAGAACGCGCCTGTGGCCAACTCCGCCATCAGGCATTCCACGCTCCAGCCCCCAGCTGGGCGCCGGGGGCGAGGTGGGCGCGCTCGGGCCTAACGGGGAGACAGCCTGCGCAGACACGGTGGGAAACGTTCCCGCGATGATATTTGTGAATCTTCAAGGTGCCTAGCCATCGGCTAGGCCGGGCGCGGCAGAGGGGCCGCCGACCGCCGCGCTCGCCTCGGCAAGCGCCTGCGCGGCGACGTCTTCCAGCTGCCCGATGGCCTTGCGGGAGTGCTTGGGTTCAGACCTGGGCGCCCGAGCCGCCGCCTTCAGCTCCATGACCTCGCTGACCAGGGCCTCGGACGTCAGCTCGACGCCCTTCATCACCCCGACGTGTCGAGCCACTCCATGTCCTTTTGGACCACCTTCTCCTTGAAGCGGCCCGGCGCGTCATGCTCTCCGCCCTCCGTCGTGGGCGCCGCCGCGCTCTTGAGCCGCCAGGGTCTCTAGGAGCTCCAGGGCTACGCCATCGCGCTCCACCGCGACGGCACGGGCGCCGCCCTCCGCCTCCTCGAGCGACGCGGCCAACGCGACGAGGGGTACCCTCAAACGCTCTGCCATGGTTTGTGCCACCTCGCTCTTGAAGCGGAGCTGGCTCCAAGGCTCCGCGGACTTTGCCGCTCGCTGGGCCATCGTCCGCTTGACTTCCGTATGCTCTACCTCTTTCTGCTTCGTGGACTGCTTGTGCTGCTCCTTGCTGCCTCCACCTCCAGCAGCTTCGCGCCCAGCGACTCCTGCCAGGTGGACTTCTGCTCGTGCTTGCCCTCGGCGCCGTCGAAGTCCGCCGAGGAAGGCAAGGCCTGGTCTGGGGCGCGCGATGCTTCCCCCAAGCCTTCCTCCTCCTCGGACGCATTCCCGCGGCGCCTGGGGGCCACTCGCGCGCCGTGCGGGGCACCGCCTCGGCGCCCGCGCCGGATTCGGCATGCTGGGCCCATGCCGCCCGACGGGCGAGGCAGCTCCCCCGAACGGCCCGCCGACACCCGCTCCGCGAGGAACGGCCTCGCGAGACGCTCCCGGGCACTGCCCTCGTCTCTGGCCGCCGGGCCCGCAGCCCACATACCCGCGCCCGCGCGGATGGCAGCCGCAGCGGCGGCGGCTGGGGGCGGAGTGCTTTCCAGACGACCAGCGAATGTCCTCCCCCCTTGCCCGCTCCTCCTCGGGGACGTCAGAGACGGGAATGTCCGAGAGAGCGGGGGGGTGGGGGTTGGGCGGGGCAAATCATGGCCCGAGGCACGTGCGCGGCCGAGGGTGGGACGAGGGGACGTTCTGCAAGAAGAATAAGCGGGGGCCATGACTTCCGGGGATATATCACGGCGCCCGCCAGGATATTCCCGCCCCCCCCGTGTAATCAACAACCCGTGTCTGCTCGCGCGCGCGCGCAAGTGCACAACTTCCGAATGCGAGAACCATTGCGCGTGCTGCCCGCGCGCTGGAGTTGTAGCTCACTTGGCGCCCTTGGGTTTTGCGCGGAAGAGGGACCGTGCCATGATTCTCTGAAACAGCAGGCTGTCGATGGCGTCTTAGGGTCATCCAGGGGCCGTCGCGCACGCTCGCGGTGGAGCTACTTCCGCCGGAAAAAAGGGATCCCAGAAATCGTCAAATAGGCACGGTTGCCTCAAGCCTCAGGGCGTGACCTGGTTGTCATGACCGAAGAGTCCGCGTTGCGCTCTGTTTTGACCTCTTGCACGGGAGGATGCGAGGAGGTATATGTACAGAGGAGGAGGAGGAGGAGGAGGAGGAGGAGGAGGAGGAGGAGGAGAGCGTATGACAAGGAGGAGGAGCGTGCAGGAGCATGGGTGGCGAAAACGCGGCGGAGAAGGCGGAACGACGAGGAGGGAATTGTGAGGGGATGATGATGAGGAGAAGGAGGAGGAGGAGGAGAAGGAGGAGGAGGAGGAGGTGGAGGAGGATGCTGAGGAGCAGGCGTGACGGTGCGGGGAGGCATGGCTGCCCCCTGCCTGCGGAGGGACTGCACGCGGCCACGTGCTGTGGAGCAGCAGCGCGCCGTGGCCGATGCTCCATGTCGAGGTCAGCTCGTCTGCGGTGGAATTCGTGTGCGTTTTCTTCTTCGGCGTTTCGATATTGGGCGGAAGGGGGGGGAGGGGGGGCGGGGTCTGGCGGACCTCTGCTCAGTGGGACTGCTTGCAACAATGCGTCCCATGGGGGGAACTTCACCTGCTCGGAACAGGCGCCCAAAACAGCCAAGATCCCCTCGGCCCGCGCCGATCAGCCAAACAACGAAGAAAAAACTATCACATTCTGAGGGCCCGTGTGGGGAGCAGTTCTGGGGCTGTTTCGGGGCTCTTCGGAGAACCCTCCTGGGCCCTCTCGGGGGCCTCCCGGGGCTGCTGGCGCCGCTTGGGGCCCCCCGGGCCGTCTGGGACCCGTCGAGGCCGTCTTAGGCGTCTTGGGGTCCCCTGGGGTCGTTGCGGGACACCCTTGGCGCCCTCTTGGGTCGGGGTCCCGTCTCGGGCAGTCTCGGGGTCTTTGAAACCGTCTGAGGCTGCTCTTGGGCGCCTCGTGGGACGTTCTGGACGCTCTTAGTATCGAACAGGCGACCACTTTCATAATTTCAGCCTCTCCACTCTCCAAGGCCTGCGTTGGCACGCCTGGAGTGGGTGCGGGAAAAAGGAGAAGGATGCACAGCAGCAGATATCGTCTAAACCCGACAGAGCCCGCTGTTGGAGCGGGCGATTTTTTGTCAAACCGATCAGATCCGCGGTAACACCGACAACGAATCTGGTCCCGGAACTGTTGTTGGTCTTCGTCCCCAATCTTTCGATTTCCGCTCCGATCGCAACCTCTTGGCACGCCCGAAATGCGTACCGAACAAATTGGTACGATGCACGGCAACAACTGTTGCCCGAAACCGTCAACGGCCGCTGTTGAGTGAACGCCCCTTTGCCTCAAATGGGGGACGTCCGCGGCGACACCGGCAACGAGTCTTCTTCAACATGGACAGGATCTGCTGTTGGTCTTCGTCCCCCCTCTTTCTGTACCCGCTGGGACAGGACGGATCTGGGAGCTCCCCTGTGCCGCTACTGGAGGCTTGCGAGGCCTGCGTGGCAATCTTGGAGCCCGGCTGGGCCACCTTCCAGGCATCTTGGGCCGTCGGCCGTCTGGGGGTAATCTTGAGTCGGGCATGTCCCCCTGCAGGCGGATTTTTTGACGAAGTATTGTTAAATCGGCGGTGGACAAACACCTCCCTTTAGTAGACCTCCCCTTAGTGAAAACGGCCTGGGACCGAAACGGACGGAACTGGACCCGCGAAAATGACGGCCGCGACGCCCTCCCGCGAACCGAAAACGGCCAATTCCTCAATCGACGCGTCAGGGCAGGAGGTCTGTCCACCCCCGATTAAAACGCAGGAAAACATGTTCAACAATTGTCAACCAAAAAAATCGTCCCCATATTATTCTTCACTATTTTTGAAGTTTCGTCCTGTCGAAGGACGTGCCAGACGTCAAAGGTAATTTTAGGCTGCTGGTGGGCCGATCTTGCGGTCTAGGTCCTGGTCCGGGGGACCAGGCGCCTCGTAATGTTAGGTGGGGCATGTCCTCCTACAGGCGGATAGAAGACGAACAATGAAAACTTGTAGAAACATCCTCAAAAAGAGTCAGCAAATAGTGGAAACATCGTGGATATTTCTCCTGTAGAGGGACGTGCCCGACTTAATCGTACTGTGGTCGAGGGAGCAGCCTGGGGCCCCTGGCCCATGTCCTCCATGGTACGTCTGCTTTTCTGTGGTGCTGGCTGCTTCTGCCCGTTGCTCCTGGTCCCCCTCCTCCTCGCTTCCGGCCCAAGTCCGCTCGACGTCAATCCCTGGGCTTCTCCCTGTTTCCACCCTGCATCCCAGCTTGATTTTTGACGGCGCCAGGGCACGAAACCTGCTTCCGCCCCCCAAGGGGCCCTCGAAAAAGGCAACAACGTCCCTTCTCGATTCTCCTTCCAGGCTCGTCCTCCTCCTCCTGCTGCTTCTCGTCTGACGGGCGCCGAGGAGGGAGACTGGCTCAGGAGGGCAAAGTATGACCTTGCGTCGACGATCAAATCAAACTTGATAGTACAGATGCGCGATAAGGGTGCAAACCCCTTGGACGCCCGTGTTGAAGCTTTCTCGAGCGCGGTCGGCCATCGAAAGTAATAAAGTATGGGCCGAAGAGGCAA